ATCAAAGCATACACTGGGCCCTTCAAAACCCAGCTTCCAAACTAACCCTAAGGGACTGTTTGAAAAGAGGATTTTGCAGGAGTTTGGAGAGTTTGTATATTCATACGTATATCAGACTTGAATAATATTGAATGGGTAACATAATATGTGATCATATAACATTTCAATCACCTTTATGGCTTTATATTTTTAAATTTAGAAATGTTCTGATTTATATAAAGTATAGACTAAAACCTCCAAAGTCTTATTCACCAAAGCACTCTAAAACCATACACCCAAACATGCCCTAAGTTGTTGTGTGGACTGAGAACGATACACATGGTCAAATAAAAGACTAGAATCAAGATATAGACAAGCCCTGAAGCCCTCCAGGCCTCCAATTCCCCAACGCCCTCCATCCAAACTGAACCTACGTGCTTCAGTGGTTGTGAGTTGTGACGACTAAAGACCATACACATGTTCAACATCAAGAAAGTTACATAATTAATGTCCTGGAATCAACATATGCATAGAATGTGGCCTTTTCAACTACAGGACAAATGCCAAAGCCAAAGGCATGCAATGCAGTCAAACTACATGAATACAGGCAGTCAATTTTACAAGAAATTGAAAGGCATCAAATATAACTGTTTTTAGGTTTTGGGGATAACATGTCTTAAAGTAGAAAAATGCTTGAGGTACACAAAATGTGTACACAAAATGTGTACACATGTCTGTCCTTCACAGAAATTTTGTCTGTCACAGACAAAATGAAATTAGTTGTCTGTGACAGACAAAATTTCTGTGAAGGACAGACATGTGTACACATTTTGTGTACCTCTAGCAAAACTCCTTAAAGTATTGCTATGTGATCAACGCCAGAAGATATAATCTTACTTGCTGATTCTCTGATACAGTTTTCCATCACAAGTGTCTCCTTTCCATATGATTCAGCAACCGGATGAGATTCAGATTCCCAGCTCACATACTTTTGGACTCCATTTTCCTTAAACTGGTTTGAATCGATCCATTTAGTATCAGCAGGCTCCTCAGAGATAACCGTTCGCCGATCAGAAATATCAGAGACGTGCTTGGTTGACTTTCTTGATCCCAACCCACATTGAGTTCTCTGGCGGTTGGAGGTCGGGCTAGCTATCCACTTCTGAGCATCATCCCATTTGGACGGAGCAGGTTTAGAGAAAGGTACACCCGGAGGAACTCTTTGTGCCCGATCTGCCTTCTGAAACTCAAAATTCACATCTTGAGGCCTAAACATGGAAGTGGCTTGTGATTGATCCTTCAATCTATTATCCTTAACCATTGAAGAACCAAATCCCCATTCTGTTGAACACTCATTTAGCACACTTACAACAGCCACATCTTTGCAAATCTCTGAACTGACTTCTGATACACCCATTCAAATTATATGTTTAGCTAAATACCACATTGATTTGGATAAAAATCGGGTCGTGATTAACATTCAATAGCCAGAATGCCAACAAAATAATAATGTAGGATCTATGGAAACATAAACCAATTAATGGATACTAAGGCTTGTTTAAAAAAGAAATCAAGGGCAGTTTGAAAAGAATCATCTTTGTTTCTGTTAAGGTAGAGATCGCTTCCCTATTTTCTTTGGATTTTTAAATATAGATGGCAGATTCCTGCATAAAATTGTCTAACGAAAGTTTTTTGGATTTCTAGAGTGTATATTCATCAACTTACATATGGAAGAGAAAAAGGAAAAGATTTTTTCGCCTTTTTTACAATTTAAAGTGTCAGTATCCTTTTTCAAATTTTAAAAATAATCAATAACAAAGATTTGGAAATGCAAAAGAAAAAGTCCTAAAGTGAATCTACAGGAGTGGATATATTCATTAAGGTTCATAATGTATTCGTTCAGTTATTGACCATTAGCTTAAACTGCATAAAAAGAGAGTGGTACAATATAGGCAAATAGACAGATAAAATAGAATAATGCAAAGCAAGACAATGAAGGAAAAGAAAAAATCCCCCGAAGTATAAAAACCATAAGAGTGCAGGAGAGACAGAACAAACCAGAATCATGGATCTCAGATTCGGATCTCAGAGAGGTACCAAGCTCTGGGTCTTCTTCTTCCTCCTGCTCTTCAGCCTGGGGTTTTTTCCTTTTCTGTGTCCTCGACAGCATACTCCTTAGCTTCCTCGGAGACAACTGCAAAACTATATACATGTAAATTTGGGAAAATGTATACCAGCAATTCTCTAGATAAAAACTGCAATTTCCCCCAACAAACAAAACAAAAAACTTATTCTTGAACTGACAGAGAAATGAAAGAGTGAAAGACAAATCTCCAATTTTTCTTTCTTGCCAAGGGGGGTGTGAAAAGTAAGAAAACGAACGAAAGCAGCTCCACTGACCTGTAGTTGACCGGTGCAAGTATTTGGTTTTTCTATTCTTTCGTAGCATTCCATTTACTAGAGGCAATGAGGGAATTCCGCTTCTTCTCTGTGCTTGAGAAATTGGAAGAGAACAGGCGAATCTGGCAATGGCAAATGGACAAAATACGGAGTAAATTGCAGTGAGTGAGGAGTGGGAAGAAGTAAGGGGCAGTAACGAGCCTGCCCTACCCGACCACACACTCTTCATGTGGAGTGTTGGGAATTTGAATCTTTGGATTGAAAAGTTGGAAACTTTTTATTTATTGTCACAACCCCTTTTTAGATGACGCCCAGATTGGAGGGTTTTTGGTACTACCTCCGTAACGTAAATATCTTCTCACTTTCCTTTTTTGGATGTAACACTAATATCTTCCCATTTCTAAATCTTCCCATCATACCCTCAATAATTTTAAAAATAATACACTATTACACCTACTTTTTTTGGATTTATCCTTCATTCCATCACATTATTTCATCATCTTCCCATCATACCCCTAATAATACATATCTTCTTTCACTATTCTTAATCTACCTACTTTTCAAATGGGAACATCCCAATGTTACGGAGGTAGTATTCAATTATTCATTCATGACGTCTTTCATTTCAATAGAACACCTGCTAAGCTTTTGGAAAATCTCGACCCCTTTAGATGAGCCGAATTTGGCTGCCCATTGCCCAACTTCATAGACTAACCCAATGACCATGTGGACATTATTGGACTCATACTACATATAATATTCAGAATATATTATTTATTCGGTTTAATTGTAGGAAAATTATCGGTCCAAGACCCGAAAGATGACCTTACTATCGATTTAGGACCCGAAAGATAATTTCAATCAATAAGGGACCCGAAAGATTATAATTTATCGATTCGGGACCTAAAAATTTAACATGATGTGGCGCATTACTCAGCTCGCGGGAATAATAAAAACCTCCACGTCACTCATATTATTTCATATATGTTGTGTCATCATTATTACCATCTTCACATATCCGGACAAAGACAGGAAACAATAAAGCCGTGCCAGAAGCAGGTAACGAAGCGGTCAGTCCGTCGCAGCTGCCGGAGGGCGGCAGCTTGAACCAGCGCCAACTCGCTCACGCTGCATCCTTCTCTCTTTTGAGGCTCATCCTCATCAAATCCAGGAAACATCTGCTTCATTTCCATGCTCATTCTTCCAACTTCATCTTCCTCAATCGCTTCTTTTAATCTAGTGACGGGAGAGTGGAGCGAGCTCTTCAAAGCTTTATTTGCAGGTAGATTTTGACATTAACGTTACTAAACATTTGATGTTTTGGTGAATAATCAGTGATTGGTTGAAAGATTATCTAGTTTTTTTTAGTTCTTGTTCTTTAATTTTTATGGAAATTGTGTATACTATAAACTATGGAGCGAGAGAGAAGATCTAATTGAAAGTGCTAAAAGTTACAGAGCTATAAAAGAGAGAGAGATTGTTTATTCTTTACAATCATATACTTTGTATGCAATTTCTATAGAACATGATTTTTCAATATTAATTTTGGACTCAGATTCACAAACCCACCGCTAACTCCCAAATCTGGATTATGTCGTCCTAATAAAATGCATCTTATTTTGTAAAGGTGGATTTCGAATTGCGATTGATTTTTTTGACTAGAACATAGCGAGCTAAATTAGATGAATATACAATAATCATAAAAGGTGTTTAAAAAGCACCCACTTCTTAGTTTTTGTTAATAAGGATACTCCATTAATTGTAAATGTTTAGAAAAATATAATAAACAATACAAATTCAAGCTATGTTTATAAGATTCAGGCATTCTCATACATATGTAGACATATGCTTATATGTCTATAAGCATTCAAGCTTATAAGCTATGCTTATAAGCATTCTCAATAAGATCCAAGCTATGCTTATAAGATTCAGGCTTATAAGTTATGCTTATAAGATTTAGGCTTGTAAGATATGCTTCCACCTTAATGATTCTCATACATCTGAAGACATAATCATATCATTGTGTTTCGAATTAAGTATATATTCATGTGACTAATTCACTTGTTTATTATGTATCTTTGCAAAATTAAGTTCATACTTAATACCGAGTATCTCACTTCTACTTTGGGTTATAACTTTAATTATTTCATTCACACATCACATGTCAGTTATAAATATGAATATAGCTTAGCTTTTTATACATGTACTTAATGTATGAGACCTTCACTATATCCTTGCTAAACAAATCAGTTGTTTGATAAATATTAGCTTGGCGGCCTTGGCCTTGGCCTATCAATAATTGTTGGAAATAGTTTTTTTAGATGTCTGAATTGATATTTGACTCCTCGAGGTCAGCCCTTAAGCATTATCTATCACCGCAGTACATGAAATTGCAGCAGGGTAAAAATCAACACTTTCTAATTCAAAGATATGTTCTTAGAACAAAATTTCAAAGATAAGTAATTGAAATAGTTTTTAATCCAGATAAAAATAAAACACCCTAGTAATACTTCTAATTCACACCATGTCATTAAAAAACATAATGAACCATTATATCTCTAAGGCTGGTTCTAGTATTCTCTATATAACCAATCTCGATCTTCATCTTGTTTGACGAAATGGTGAGTTACTTCTATGGAACAACTTCAAGATATTTCCTGCCAAGAAAAGTATTAACATTAAAACACACAATCTTGTACTAGTATTGTATATCTATATATGTGTAGTTAGAGCATTAGAAATAGCCATACTTGCTCATTTTCTTTACATGATCTTTTGTTATGTCCAAACTGCTTGCATTTACTGCACTTGATCATCCCGTGCTTTCTTTTCGCTTTATGAGCATCCCTGCCTTCTAATGATGATCTATGTCGCTGCTTTTTTGGTCTCCCTGGTGGCCTCCTTAACAATGGTGGTTGTATGAGCTCATGACCAGGTTTAGGGGAAAAATCGGTACTCTCCATTGGTTGTATTTCATACTCATAAGCTCTGAAAAAGTACTCTTTTGTAAAATATTTGTGCACGTAATTTTCTGGTCTTCCCTTCACTGAGTTTATAGCGGCACAAGCATGAACACAAGGAACACCTGTCAAGTCCCATAACCTACACGTACATGTGTGGTGATGAAGGTGAACGACAAACCTTTTAGGCCGTAGTGTAACTTCAAATATAACTTCACCATTTGAAATTGCAACCCACTTAGTAGATTCCATAATGCAAGCATTCAACTTCTTCAGTATCTTTGGGCATATTAAGCCACTCATGGTCCTCATCCTATTTGATTTTTTTCTCATTAGGTTCATTGCTTTAATCCTTATGTTATCAATTAGGATATCCACATGATTTTCTCGATACCTTTTTAGAACTCCATTGAAGCATTCAATGATGCTACTTGAGAACATGTGACACTTGACATGGTTTTGAAAGTGTGCTCTACTCCATCTCTCGACACCTATTTTGGTGAGATATTCCCATGCACCATATTCTTTATTCTTCAACTTATTCATATATTTTTCAAAGTCACGCACCATAGTGGATTTTGCAGCTAACCAAAACAGTGATCTAACTTGTTCGTCCTTCCATTTTTTCTGAAAATTTGTATACATATGACATACACAAAACCGATGATATTTAGAAGGGTATAATTCTTCTAGGGCAGCCACAAGACCCTATCAACAAAACAAAAGTTTAATAAAATTTTTAAAGCACGTTTATAAGTAATAAATTAATAAAATGAAGAAATATTTACCTTCCCTTGATCAGAAATAAATGTCCATCTCTCCCCATGTATAGATGTTTGCCCAAGATCAGTCAACAAGTTATTTAAAAACCAGTGCCATGTCTCACGAGTCTCAGATGCTACTATTGCATACGCTATAATGAATAGGCCATTGTTTCCATCAAGACCAACAGCGGCTAGAAGTTGACCACGATAGTATCCATTCAAATGACACCCATCTACTGCAATTAGTGGTCGGCACCCACTTACAAACCCTTTTTTACAAGCATCTATGCATATGTATATTCTGTCAAATCTGGGTAAATCACTAGTTCCCTGCTTTGGACACAATAGTTCGATAGTAGATCCAAGATTACTCTTCAGCAACTCCTCACAATAATCTGGTAGCCGTGAATACTGTCGAGCAACATTTCCATCGAGTGATTGGAGAGCATATGCTTTTACTCTGTAAGCTTTTGCTATACTAATTGTGACATTATATTTCTTAAATGTAAGATCTTTTACTTCTTCTCCTGTCATTTTTGGATGTTGTCTGAATTCATTAGTTAACTTACTGCCCAACCACTTAGCATTAACAAACTTTTCTTTCACTCCCTCCTTTTGACAACTATGACTAGAGATGAATGTTTTGACCTTGTATGTTTCTAAATTTCCAACTTTTGAACAGAATATAAGCCATGGGCAACTGGTCACACACTGAACTCGACATCTTATCTTATCTTTCTTAACAAAGTTCAATTTGTACATATTTTGGACCCCATAGCTTCTCACAGCTTCATAAAAATCATCAATGGATAGATGCAAATGTTTGCCCCAATTTGAAGTAGTCCTCCCCTTGGCTAGGTTGAATATGAGTAGAGTCCACTTCATCCCCGCTAGATGAAGATTGAGATTCATGAATGCTCTCCAATTTTGTCAAAGATTGTATCGTAGCCGACTCAGAGAAATCAGAGAAGTCAGTTGTCTCACCTAAATGATTATGAGCAACTCTATCAACTATGGGTGCTGAGTAACCAGTTGATTGGTTATCATCATCATCATTGTGGTATTCGTCTAAGCTCCATTCATCTAACCCTCATGCAGCCATCTGAAAATGGAAAAGTATTGCCTTTACATGTTTAAACTTCAATAGTCATCATTGTTTGTTTGTTTACTTGTATGTGAAAATAATAAAATTGAAAAATAACTTTGAGTACATTCTTCATGCTCATATTACATACTACATATAATATATACATTTGGTTAACTTTTTATGCTCTATGATTGTTATGATGGTTTATATGCAGGTGGCCTTTATCATGCATTGGTGACTTACTCTAAAGGTTGAAGGTATGTGCATGTTATGAGTTCCCTTATGATCAATTGGGGAATTATCAGTTAGCATGTTGAGTGTGGATCAATATATGGAATTACTTAGGTTTTCTATAATTATTTTTCTACAATAAATAGATAACTTGAAGTTAGTTGTCAGAGTGATGTGAACTCTTACTGTCTTACAACAATTATTTTTATATTAGCTTATTTTTCAAGTGCACACACACACATATATATAGCTTATTTTCAACGTTTGGGTTGAAGAAGGCCTCCTAAATATGATTTTATTTGTTTTGATTAGATCAATAAAAAATTAGTATCCATTGAAATTAATCAAACAATAAGAAGATAAAGTGAGAATTAGGGTTAAATATAACATGATGATTACAATTCAAGCTTTCTTGTTTGATAGAATTTGCGGATATGTGAAAATAAAGACATTGTGAAGATGAAACACTCACCTGGATTAAATTCTCACAAAGTTGTGCATATGCAGTTTGTGGAGATGCAGTTTGTGAATGGCTCCTCTTGTGCGTACGTGATAATGGGTCTTTGTATAATTAAAGGTGGCTGCAGCGATGTATGGAGGATTTGTTTTATATATATTTAATTGTTTTTTTAATAATTGTGTTGATTGTTTAATCTATGTGGCGCCACATCATATTCCGTTAGGGACAGTTTAACGGTGTTAAATTTTTAGGTCCTAAATCGATAGATTATAATCTTTCAGGTCCCTTGTTGATTGAAATTATCTTTCGGGTCCTAAATCGATAGTAAGGTCATCTTTCGGGTCTTGGACTGATAATTTTCCTTTAATTGTATGTTATATGCTATCTTAATTTAGGCCCGAAAAATTAGCGGTCCTATGGATATTAATTTAAGTGGGCTAATAAGTTATTTAATAAAGTATAGGGCCCAGAAGTGTAGAAACTCTTGCGCTTAACCTAATTAATGATGGGCTGATTAGGGTTAAGCATTCTCTATAAATAGATGGGTTATGGTCCCTAGTTGAACACGTCATTCCGTCTTTCTGCATCCCATCGCTAGAGAGATAATTCCCGAGGGTGTGTATCAACTAAAAGACGCAAACCCTAGCCTCCGTCTCCCGGATCTCTAAAGATCATCTCCAATGGAGTCAGGTACGCTTCCGCTCAGTTAGTTCTCTAGATAATTCCAATATGAAGATTAAAGTATTATCGAATTTATTCCAACAATCGGTATCAGAGCCTCCTTCATATTGAATTATTTGGAGTCATGAGTAGAATCTACTGATTCATTGAAATAAGGGTAATGTGATTTTGCGTTTATGCAATTCGTTCCTGATATATTCACATATTGGATCGGTTGTTAATCGCAAAACGATTGAATTTGTAGTGTTGCTTTTGTTGTGAAATTTGCCGATTAAACAGAAATTAGGGTAATTCGTTCCCATGTATTCCGAGAATGAATCGGTGCTGTAGACTTATTGAAACCATTATATTTCATTTGGTTTTCATGATTTTTTTTTGTCGCAGTAGCTTGCGCTATTGTATACTTTCGTATATATACTCGGTATTTGTTTATTTTTCATACTTCCGATGTGAGGCATTGAAGTCATATACTCGGTATTTGTGATTATAATATGTAATCAATTTTGAGGGAGTGTCTCGATCAATTTATTCAATTGAAATCCCACTTCAACTTCTTTTACGTAGTTGATGACTTGATGTGAAGCAACTAGATAATAATGATTCTTGATATGGCAAATTTGAGTTTTTGGTTTTGGACTTCGGCAGAATAAAAAAATGGCTTTGTCGAATTTCACGATGAATCTTATTTTGGGATTGGGAAGGTGATTCAATTGGTAACTTTTGTTGGATTATCAAATTTGTTTTTTTATTCACTTTCTTTTGGATTCGTGGGTTAGAAACAGAACAAATATAACATGCAATCAAAGGATTATCTATTTTTTTCGATAAACATATACGGAGTAATGTTTATCACTTCTGTTTTAATCACTTTCCAATTTTTTCGGTGATTCAATTTGGAAATTTCCATAGATTGGGTAATTAAATACATATATGTGATTATTGCCGGTTTAGGTAATTAAATACTTGTATGTAATTACGGCATAAATCTGTTCAATCAGAAATACATAATTTAGATATTACGGAATTGATTATTTTGTTGGTTATTGTGTTTTGTGGGATGAAAAATATGTATGATGTGTTATGGATGTATAAATCCTATTTTGCGATCGCACATCGATTGTGTATGGTTTTATAAATTATATATTGTTATACAAAACACATTTGCATGTGATTCACAAAAATTCACCCAATTTTATTATTCAGTTTTTTTATTTAATATTAGCATGTCTATATTTGAGTTAGTTACTTGATACAACATGCTGCCAAAGTAGCCTCTCTTGTTGAAATTAATTAACTCATATATTAAGATGATTGTGTACTTTCTTATTTCATGCGGATAATAATCGGCCCAAAGGAAGGTTATTATCTGGCCGAAATTTAAGTACATTTGTGATAATAAAATCTGTGATAATTATGAGGTTTTCATGTGAATATTAAGTCGGTCCAAAGAAAGGCTTAATATTTGACATGATTTTATTATCAAAATTTTATTATTACACCAAGAGTACCACTTGCAAGTCTAATTTATGTCCAAAGACAAGATTAGATGTTGTGCTAGGTATCTTGTGATGGGGATTGCTAATATTTAAATTTAAAATTGATTTTTCAAGTTGATTTCAGTTTTTAGATCATATCATTTATATTATTTTTGTTCTCTTCCAGTCAACAATTCTGCTGCTACAATATGTGCTAATATTAATAGCATCTCTGTGCTTAACGGCACGAATTTTAAGGAATGGAAAGAGAACGTTATGATTGTTCTCGGTTGCATGGATCTAGACCTTGCACTCCGGACTGAGAAACCCGTCACTCTTAAGGACTCATCTACCATTGATGAAAAGAGGGGGATAGAGAGGTGGGAATGCTCAACCTGCATGAGTCTAATGATCATGAAACGTGCAATTCCAGAATCATTCAGGGGCACTATGTCTGATGAGGATGATGCCAAATCGTTTTTTGCCGAACTTGAAAAGCGTTTCGCTAAAAACGAAAAGGCGGAAACTAGTACTCTTTTGAGCACTCTTGTTTCCATGAAGTACAAAGGCAAAGGGAACATAAGGGAGTACATTTTGGAAATGTCTCATATTGCTTCAAAACTAAGTGCACTTAAGCTTATTTTACCTGATGAATTGCTTGTGTATTTAGTTTTGATCTCTCTTCCTTCTCAATTTAAACAATTTAAAGTCAGTTACAACTGCATTAAGAAGAAATGATTTCTCAATGAGCTCATTTCTCATTGTGTTCAAGAGGAAGAGAGAATAAAGCAAAA